TGTACATGATAGTTCTAGAAACGTTGCGTCACAGTAGTCATGTGACTCGATGACGCAACAATATCATTCAATTTGTAAACCATGGGCCTCGTAAGTGAAACTCACCAAAACACTTGGTTCACAGACAGTTTAGCGTAACATTCTATTTCATTTTCTTATTATTGTTGGTTTACATATTAAAGGGATTTTACAATCCAGGAAGGGAGGAGTGTTATATATCTATATTTGTGATGTTGTATTTTGTTTGTTATCTAAAGGAAACCGCAAGTTAAAATCGGAAATTTTAATACCATAGGCCTAAATTACCCATAAAGTTCTAAAAAATTTGAAATCAAGTTTCTAGTAAATTCAGTGGAAGATAGTGAATAGCTTCGAATATAGTATATTTGTTTAGATAATTGTTTCTAGCCATTAAAGTGAATCAGTTGAAGTGTTTTTGTCAGTGGTTTGATCGATCAGCCGTGAATTTGTATAACTGAGTTTATTCTAACGTTAGAGTAGTACGGTTAGTGTAGTATTTCCGTTGTAAACGTGGCCTACAAGTTACAAAGTATACAAGCCTGTAAGAAGAGTTAAAGAGAAAAATATTTCGTTATCCTTAAGTGGTCTGGGCGTTGAATTATTTTCATCAGATGATTTATGAGAGTTCCCAACAAGATATAACGTTAGAACAACAGGTATTCTTGACTTCTGTTGCTTGTAGCTAACTGTGCATACATTTGGAATTGAAATCCTAGATAAGATGTAAATATACTTATAAAGGTGATATACACATGTTTCCGGATTTAAAAAAAAGTATAATTGCTCGGCTTTAAATTTGTTTTTTAATAATTTTTTTCATATGTTTAATTTTGTATATTTATTGGACACATTATCCACGTCAGATGGCAGTATTATACTTCTGTATCCGTAACGTGTAGGTTTATGAAACGAGAAATATTTGTAATTAAATTTGCAGGGAAAAAAGGTTGGACTTGTTTTTGTTAGAGAACTTTCATGATGAAATTTGCGGTTATATATGCAAGCTTATGCTTACAGTTGATGGTAACTGGTATAGTAATTGCAGTCATAGTTTTTTGTGATGCAGCCTTTGGAGTTGGAGATGTAATTTATGCTATTAACGCTGGAGGAGAAGCCCACATTGATACGCATGGCATACACTACCGCAGGGATCCACTTCATGGTAAAATCGGTACGGCTTCAGATTTTGGAAAACAGCTTATTATTGGTAGAGTTGCACGCTCGGACCAAATACTTTATCAGACAGAAAGATACCATCATGCAACATTTGGTTATGAAATACCTGTGAACAAAGATGGGGACTACGTCTTGGTGTTGAAGTTTTCAGAAGTGTATTTCTCTTCACCAGGCATGAAGGTGCTCTAAACTAAAACAATTTTTACACTATTTAATATCAAGTAATGTTGTGAAAAAAGCTGCTTAACTTTATTGAATTAAAGTTTTACATTGCTATTGTTTAAAATTAGATTTACTCATTGATGCAATGAAGCTTCATCATGTGGATGTTTTACTACTATTACCAGTACTAGTAATAGTATGTATTACTGAAATAATTGTTTTAATCAAACTGATGAAACTGATTGAAAAAAATCTTTCTATCTAAAAGTAATTTTGATACATTACAACATAGTTTCCAAGTGTGTAAATTGGTTTTATACATTTATATTAATTTATGTATATATACATACACATGTATATGTATTTATAATTTTAGGACAATGGCAATCCTGTTAATCAATCTAGACCATCCCATCCACTATAATGAACATTAAAATGAAAATAAAACACTCAATACCTGTTCTTACTATTCATATTTTTCAAGCCTTCCTATAAACTCCATATGAAGGCAACTCATTCCAAAGGCCAACCACTATATTAGAAAAATAATGTTTTAGCTGAAGATGACTCCTGTTCTGCTAAAATTTATACTTGTGTCTCCTCGTCTTCCCATTAAATGAGAAAAAAAAAGATGATGCATCAACAATGTCAATTTCTTTAACAATTTTAAACACCAAAATCAGATATCTTCTAACCCTTCATTTTTCAAGATGGAGAACAGTTTAAAGATCTTAACCATCCGCATATGACTATTTACATCACAGCTATCATCCTAGTAGCCCTCCTCTTAACCCTTATTAATAATTCAGCATCCTTCCTATGGTTAGGCACCCATTAATTCAGTTTGACTGAACTCTGCTTTTCTCCACCAAGCTAGTTTTCTATCCAGTGAGCTAACCTATCCTCTACACCTACAGAGATAACTTTCTTAACAAGTTTTTTATGTGCCACCTTGTCAACATAAGCAGTAACCTTTTCAAAGACTGACAAAGATTAGTAAGTCAAGATTTTTCCCTAATGAAACTATGCTGACTATCCAACTAAATTTTTAACTTTGTTAAATAGCTTAGTAAAGCATCTTTTATCAGACTTTCAAAAACTTTCAACAACCGATGTAAGACTAATAAGCCTATAGTTACTGGGACAGTTATCACCTTCTTTGAAAAGAGGAATAATTAGCCAACTTCCAACCTTCTAAAGGCTGCCCATTATAGAAAAAATATAGTTCACATATCCAATCCTTAACCTTGGATAAATATGATTTAGCTAAGGAGTTTTATCATAATTTTGACTTCCCAGTTTTTTCTTAAATAAGCTCAAAATTAATGTGATCATCTTGTTCAATGTTATTTTCATCTATCAACTTTTCAGGATAGGAATATCGTTTAAAATCTTCATTAGTAAAAATTAAAAAGTAGAATTTAATAGACAAGCTATTCCATAATCCTCAGATATTAGCCTCCCTGTACCATCCATCAAAGACCTTACTCCCATCCTAATATTTTGCTTACCCTTAATGTATTTGAAGACATTCTGTTTATTTTTACATTTTTAGCCAACATTTTTTTTGTATAGCTTTCTCAATTTTCCACTTTATCAACTCTCTTGATATTCTATAGTCCCCCAAATCTCCTATCATTGTAGTGAATTTAAACTTCTTATATTTATAATGCTTTTCTTTAATTTTATTATTTATATCCATTGTGAGCCAACCCGTTTGTTTTTACTTACAACCACCCTTTTTTTGCCTTAAGCCTTAAGGAACATGCTTATTTTGAATATTTAATTATTTATTTTAAAGATTTTTCCACATTTGGTCAGTATCTCCTTTTACTTTAATTTTCCAATTCACAGCACATAATTCTTGTCTCATCTCTTCAAACTGGCTTTTTTGAAATTTGGAACCAAAATTTAATTATTTCTTATCTCCACATGAAGCAAAACATCAAATCTAATTCAGCAATAATCACTTGCACCTAGATATTCCCCAGCCTATACTCTATCAACAATTTCTTTATTAGACATTAACAATAAATCTATCCTGAACAGTTTCTAAAAGCCCGTCTCCCTCATGATTTTATTCTAGCACTAGTGAACCCGTGGGCCTGTGGCCCACTTTTACAGAGCTGC